ATGTCGACTCCGAGGATACCGATACTGGCTGAGGCAAGAAGGGGAGTGCCTTGAAATTGAGGAGATACGACAAAGGGGTTCTTTTTAGCGGTAAACGCGCAAACTTGTGTCTTCTGAGGATTAAACTGGACTAGATTTAGTCGCCCCCAATCCGAGACTTTGTCCAGCAAAGACTCGACTTCAGACACAAGTTTGTTCCGGTACTCGGCGACGTTTTCCCGAGAAATATTGGCCCGGCCGGTGTATAGAGCATCACCAGTGCTGTCATCCGCATAGCAATGAATGTTACCAGTTAGCAACATATCATTGATATGCAGAAGAAACAGCGTTGGTGATAGCACACAGCCTTGTGGAACACCAGCGTTAATAGGCTTGTAGTCAGAACATGCACCGTCTACAACGACCTTGATGCTCCGATCTGCAAGGAAGCTGGTGATCCAATTGCACAATTTCTCGGGAAGCCCATAGGAAGGGAGCTTCGAAAGAAGCGCTTTGTGCCAAACCCGATCGAAGGCCTTCGCAATGTCCAGACTAACGGCCAACGCCTCCCCCTTGGACTCTACTGCCTCCGCCCATCTATGGGTCAGGTAGACTAGAAGATCACCAGCTGATCGACCCCGACGAAAACCGTATTGGCGGTCACTGATCAGCTGGTGATCCTCAAGGTACCGGATGAGCTGGCAGTTAATAATGGATTCTTGATAAATATATGGCACGTTGGACATTCCACTTGATCATCGTTACTGATACCGTTCCCTGCAGAGGTATGCGCTTCTGCTTCCGTTGTTGGTTTTTTGATGATCTTGGATTCTTTGCTGCACGTTCGCTTCGTTCCTCTTCCAAGTTGTAGTGGTTGACTGCTAAAATGTTTAAATTTATTAAAAACTGTATAAGACAATATGTAAATTATGATCGAAATGAATGTTTATTTTACATACTTAAACTGTGTTTCAACCATCGCACAGTGATGATACAACTCATCATCGTATGACGAATCGAACAGTTGACCCCTCTCCATTTCTTCACAAACTTTAGACAACTCCTGATTTAATTCGCTATTGAATAGTTCCGTATTCTCTTCCATGATTGTGGAGAAAAAAGCACTGGTGCACACTTCACTGAAGTTTTCCCTTCCTCTTTTTTATTTTTGATTCAGCTTCAAAAAAATGATCAATCGATTGCGATTTTCTTTTTCCACCATCGCATGTGTTATTATTAATGACGAGGTTATCACTCTCTTCTTGAGGGGAGAGTGGCGAGTAGTAATACTGTTTATAGGTATCTTCATCGAAGCTCAATGATTTCTGCAACAACACAGTTATCATGTTAATATCAATTTGTTAACACTTAATCATAAAAGTTAAAAAAGTTAAAGTTACAGCCTATTAAAGTCCACTGCTGAACATAGGCCTCCTCTCATTTCTGAGAGGGTTTTAGAGCAAGGAAATGTCCGCCGCGCTCCCTCAATGTGTGTTGGCGAACTTCACATGCCTTCGAAATTTTCTCAGACATGCAGGTTTCCTCACGATGTTTTCCTTCACCACCAAGCACGTGGTAATAAGCACTTAAAATTGCGATTAACAATTTAATTGGTGCTGGCGGGGATCGAACCCGGGTCGCGTACTGTGAAATTTACAGCTAGCGCTAACCATCTGAGTTACCACGGCTTAATCATATACATACACAATATTTAAATAAAATAATACACACACATGAAAATAACAGAAAAAAAGTAATTTAGTCAATAGAATAAACACTTACATCCATAGCCTTTGGTGTATTGAAGTAACACAAATGTACTATTGATAGATCCACTGTAGTCAAACGACCGTACACTAACTCGATGACTGCGTCTGTTGGTCTTATATACCACCAGTACGTAAAAATTCTAATCTAAAGTATTTCCGTAATGAGTTGATAATTACTTTATGCGTCAACCAGTTTATCTCACATTTCCGTTGTCTATCTCAACATTTCTTCGTATTGTGTTTTGTTTGGTGATCAATGACTCAAGTACGATTTGTATAGCACAAAAATTCAATTTAATATTTAGAAACATATCAGTTTATCTCACATTTCCGTTGCCTATCTCAACATTTCTTCGTATTGTGTTTTGTTTGGTGATCAATGACTCAAGTACGATTTGTATAACACAAAAATGCAATTTAATATTTAGAAATCACTATAATTGACCATTCCTATGTTATTCATTGAGTAGATTGGTACTGTAATAATCTACTAATAGCAGTAATATCATGGATACACTAGATGTACAACAACATCTGAAAAAGATTCACCCCAGTCTAGAAAATAATGTTTATGCAGCTAATAGACTGCCTATGTATACCCACGTACCAACGTATATAATATGTAATTTGGATACAGATGATAAACCAGGGTCACATTGGGTAGCTTTATATATCGATACGAATGACGTCGGTCAATATTTTGATTCATATGGACGATCACCTGTACGATATCATCTAGAGTTTTTAAAAAGGAATTGTAAAAGATGGAACTGGAATGTTGATAGGATTCAGAATGAGTGGACTTCAGTTTGTGGCGAATATTGCTTAATGTATTTGCTATATAAGTTTCAAGGATGTTCATTACATAGTTTTACGAGTATATTTACAAGGAACACACTGTACAACGATATTTTAGTGGATGAGATGTTTCGCTCCTATTTTATAGATAATAAGTAATAAGATTTTGTATTTTATAAATAAAAATTGTAACAAAATTATGTAATGTGTTTTATTGATGATTCAGATTAGCGTTGTATAATTAGGAACAAAGAAGTACAATACAATAGCACTGATATAGTCGACGCACACGCTGCAATGAAGGTGATTAATGAACAATAGAACAATAGAAATAGGAACAATGGGACGCTAATGACGGTGGAGGCCCTTACCGGATATCAATTAGATATTAGCTAATTGATCTACACATCTCCGGAACCGTGCATTCTACACAAAAATGGACCGCGGATTCGTGATCAGAGCATGCCAAAACCTTTTTTTTTTTTTAGAATCGTGTGTCGACGAACGTCGTTGAACCACGTCTGACTCAGGTGGTCTAGAAGTGGTACAACTACACTACTAAAATGTAACGTCCAACAGAGTATCGTACCAAGCTATTAGCAAATATACTGATGTAATAAGTAACAAAAATTCACTTATGTGTTTTTATGCCAATACCCGTAGTATTGTTAGACCTGGTAAATTCGATGAACTTGCGTGTGTTTTACAGTCGTTTCCTTATCAAATACATATTATTATACTGACCGAAACATGGTTGAAATCAGAGCAGGAGGCCAAAAGATTCTAACTAACAGGCAACAGTCATTACTTTAATATTAGATATAATAGCAGAGGGGGTGGCGTATCAATATTTGCTCATAATTCACTTAAGCACAATTTAATAGAAGAAAGCTCCCATTGCGAAAACCATTTTCTCTGGGTTCACATAAACAAGTTTTCTCTAGACATAGGTGCCGTCTACAAACCAGAACGCACAAACAACAAAGATTTCTTGGAATACTTCTCAGCACAGTTAGAACAGAAAAGAAGAGGCTTGGTATTTGGAGATTTTAATGTTGATCTCCTAAGTTCTGATAGATCAATCTTTGAATATAAAGAAACAGTAAAAGAATGCGGTTACCATCTTTTGAACAAAATAGATACACGCTACAGCACTCGTGAAACAAGCAAAACCAATACATTACTAGACCATAACTGCACAAATCTGAAACAAAATCTCTTTCACTTAGCCGTCATAGAATCCAATATGTCTGATCATAAACAAATATATTTTGAAGTTATAAATTGTAAGCTTGAACCTATAAAATCAACTGTGTATCAAGCTTTACTATATTAATTTATACAAAACTTTGGAAAAAGTAAATAGTGATAATAATTCAAACTTGGACTATAATATCTTCCAACAAAATCTTATATCCTCTATACTAGTGATGCACAGACTTATTAAGGCTAGGGGCCACTCGGGCAAATTATGAACTGATGGCGGGCCGCCAGAAGTACCTATAGGTAATTAAAGATAATAAAGAATTAATAATAATGTATTAAAACTAAAAAGAATTTATTAATTTGAAGCGTGGCACTGCATAGTGCTTATAATCTTTTTTATATTTGGCTCAAATTTACTTGTAGCCACACGTAAAACTGCTTCCAAACTTTCATTTGCAAGGCGGTTTCGATTTTTGTTTTATTATAATTTAGTATTGAAAAGGTTTGTTCACATATATAGGTAGACCCAAATAAGCTGGCACATTTCAGAGCGTTTATGCGCAACTCTTTGTACGTATTTTTATCAATGCAGCGGTAAAAGTTCAGCAAGTCTGCTTAGTTGAATTTGTTGCGTAAATCTTGGTCGTTTTGAATGTCGATAATTTGTAACTGCATTGACTCTGGCGCATTTTCAACTAAAATCGTGAAAGGATTGCTGAATATGTCCAACAGAGGTTTCACTTTTTCAAACTCCGAAAATCTGTCTTGAAAAAATTGAATCAAAATATCTAGGTTTTCTACATAACTGAAAATAATCGCAGTTTTGTTGAATTTTTCAGCCATTTTCTTATAATTCGGAAAATGATTGTAATTTCCAGAATTCAATTGCGATCTGAAAAGTTTCAGCTTGCATTGAAAGGATGATATATGAGCGTAGAGCTGGGATATCAGTTGATTTTTGCCTTGAAGCCGTGTGTTCAAGACATTCAAAAGAATTGTAATATCAACTAAAAAAGCCAAATCACACAACCAATCAGGATTTTTAAGTTCCGGGACATCCCTTTGCTTTTCCGCCAGAAATATTCCAATTTCTTCTATTAAATTTAGAAATCGTTCCAGTGTCAATCTACGACTTAGCCACCTTACTTCTGTATAATACAGTGAATCTCCATATTCGTTTTCGATGTCATCAAGGAATTGTTTGAATTGCCTGTGATTGAGTCCTCGTGATTTTATGAAATTTACAGTCTAAACTACCACTTTCATGATATTTTGAAATTCAATTTTTTTAGAACAGAGGGCTTCTTGGTGTATAATGCAGTGAAACTTCATGAGATCTTCAGCGTTTATGTTTTTTTCTTGCAGATGCTTTTTCAGCAAAGTAACTAGCCCAGAATTGACACCAATCATCGAAGGAGCACCGTCAGTCGCAACTCCCGATAATTTTGATAAGTCCAAATCAGTTCTTGAACACTCATCCAAAAGTACATTGAGTATATCAACTCCTCTGGTTTGACCTTTCAATGAACACATTCCTAATAACTCTTCTAAGACTTCAAAATCTTGAGTAACCCCTCGTATGAATATCAGAAGTTGAGCTGTGGAACTAATATCAGTGGATTCGTCGAGTGCTAATGAAAAAAATTCAATGATCTTAGTTTTTTCATTTAATTTTCCGCAATATTACCTGACAAAGATATAATTCGTCTTTGGATAGTCATACGATTCAGTTGAATTTTCTCAAACTCTTTTGCTGCTTCTGGACACATTTTCTTAGCGGCAATTTCTATGCATTCTTTTACAAAATCCCCATCATTGAAGGGGCGACTTCGCTTTGCTATCATTCGAGAAATTTCATAACTAACTTCTGTAGCTGTTTCTGAATCTTGAATAGGTTTTGTAACCATAGCTTGCTGACCAATAAGCTCCCGTTTTAAAGATAACATTTTTTGCTTTTTTAATTCGCTTGTAAACTTGGTAAAAGTAGGATGCTGCGTTTCATAGTGCCTTTTTACATTATATTCCTTTGCAATCGCAATAGAATTCTTGCAAATGAATCAAACGACTATGTTATGCGACCATACAAAAAAGTGTTTCTGTTCAAATTTTTTGAAATTGCCGATTTTCATCTTTAACCTTACGTTTTTTACTAGGTCCTGGCTTGTCCATGTTGCGTTCTAATCCTGGCTAGGATTAACACAGCACCTAAAAACAATTACAGTACCAACTTAAATTATCCATCCTTTTTTAAATTACCAAAAATAATTGATTAAATAGGTAGGGAAACACTTATTAATAACAGAGTTTTACTTACGATTTCACAACACAATTATACACGGCACTTGACGGAAAATCTACGTTGAATCTGGATCAAAATATATGACACCGGCTAGTCGAGTTAAAATCTACACTATTGACACTTCACTCAAATTAAAACCGAACTGTCGGTCGCTGCCGTTAGCGTGGCTTTTATACCGCGCGCATAGAGTCGAAAACTGTCTGCAGAAATCACGAAACCGACTCTGGAAGCTTCGTGTATCTACCTACGCGAGCAATCGGGAATTCGGGACTATTGCTATCTTGCTTGCTCTAACAATATAACCCGTGGATAAGCCGCCACCGCGCTGCCGTCGTCGCCACGCCGCCGGCCGCAGCGGTTCCTCAAGAAAACGAATTTAACCGAGATCAGCACGAACATTACCGACCGCTGTTACCGACGCATGCACGGCGCACCGATAAGCGCACTTAAGAGCGCGCGCGCGAGATTCAAATTACTTTTCGAACATATTTTTTTTGGTTTTATTCTGGAATATAATTCAATATTTTTCGAATGTATTATTTTTGCTGTCGGTGGGCCACCAGTATTCGACCGGCGGGCCGCAAGCGGCCCCCGGGCCGCGGTCTGTGCATCTACGCTCTAGATAATGATAAACTATGATTTAAAACTAATTTCTCAATTAACTGATATTGTGTAACAAAAAAACTTTACCTCAGTCACAACTAGCGTCATCTAATGAGTGGAAGAATATTAGCCCTCATTATCCTTCATAGTAAACTTCTACACAATATGTTGATGCGTCACATTGGGCAGCCCTTGGGAGATTTTGAAGGCAACTTGAGCCAGCAGCCAGTTGGCGATGGTAAGAAAACTGCAGACTTATGGGGGATTTCCGTTAAAGTTATTTTATCTATAATAGATATAATAGCACCATATCTAGACACTATATTTAATACAAGCGTCGAATCTGGTGTGTTTCCTGATTTAATGAAACATATCTGGTAGTACATTAGACCCCGCAAATTTTAGACCAATTTCTGTACTACCAACGTTTACTAAAAAATTTGTAAAATAATTTTGGATCAGATGTTAAGTTTCTTTAATATTAATAAATTGCTACATAAAAATCAATACGGTTTTACAAGGGGCGCTCGACAACTGACGCTGGAGTTGAGCTTATTAAACATATTTTTTGTGCATGGGAGAATTCAGAGGATGCTTTGGGTATATTTTGTGACCTTTCCAAGGCCTTCCACTGCGTTCACCATGAGACATTAATCAGCTACAGTACTATGGTGTCAAGAACACAGCGCTTAAACTCATTATTTCATATTTAAGTAATAGAATGCAGAAAGTTATTATCAATGGTAAAAGTTCTTCCGGGTCACCTGTACTAATAGGTGTCCCTCAGGGCTCCATTCTCGGCCCATTCCTATTTCTTGTGTATATTAATGACTTACCTTCTCTTGTAGGGGATAATCATGATATAGTATTATTTGCTGATGATACTTCCTTGATTTATAAACTTAAACGTCACTCATTTAAATGTGACGTAGTGATTAATGCTATATCAAAATTAGTGCATTGGTTTAACGTTAATAATCTACATTTAAACGGAAATAAAACTAAAAATATTAAATTTACAACAACGAATGTTAAAAATCTGAGTACTAATGTGTTTTTAAATGGGAAAGAACTGAGCCCTGTTGAATCCACTGTTTTTCTTGGCATCACTCTCGACGCAAAGCTCCAGTGGGGCCCCCTATATGTCCAAACTAGCAAGCAGACTAAGTTCTGCAGCCTATGCTGTAAAAAAGGTCAGAGGTCTCACTAGTGTCGAGACAGCTAGATTAGTTTATTTCAGTTATTTCCATAGCATAATGTCTTATGGGATTTTGCTATTGGGAAATGCGGCTGATTTTGAAACTATTTTTGTTTTACAGAAGAGGGCCATTAGAGCTATTTACAACCTAAAACCTGCGAAATAAGACACTCTTAATTGTTCCACGTTTATTGCGTGACTGCCACCGCCCGAAATCGTCTTACAATAGTTTTTCGAGTCTACCCTATATCTATATCCTATAACAATATACCACACCTCCCCCCTTAATACAATATAAATGTCTTAAATAATAAACTTAACTAAATTTTATATAAATCTGTTTTAATCTTAAACATTTATTCTATGACATAAAAATTCCCGTAACACGAGATAACCAAATTATATATATAAAATAAATCACTATGTTAATGAAGGAAACCGTACTGTCGGATGTCTGTTTCTTACAGCGTAACGGCGGTTTAATTCGGGCTCAAAATATTGTGGTTGTATAGCCTTATTAATATCAGGCGATGCCATGCTACGCTGTGCTCCCGCCGCACCCGCCATCGTGCCTGCCAACGCCGCCGGACCTTCCCCTGGGTTATTAGTATTACTAGTTACGTTGGTTAGAAACGGATTTATTAAATTACGCCTGGATGACTCTTTAATCGTGATCGGGTCTTGCAAAGGAAAATTAAACCTGTGTCTTAGCTGGTCTGCGTGTCGGTGATGTGAACTTCCATCGATGCCCAAAATTTCATAGTCAGTGCTACCTAGCCGCAACTGAACTTTTCCGTCCAACCATTTCTTACCCGTGCCGTAGTTACGGTATAAAATCTCATCCCCTTCGTTAAAACACCGCTGTGACCCGCCTGCTGCCAACTGCTGGCGTCTTTGCGCTGCATTAACGCGATCTGCGCGCTCCGGTTTTAAACAATCGAGTCGCATCCGCAACGAACGGCCTTGTAATAATTTTGCCGGACTTTCTCCTGTAGTGCAATGTTCGGTATTTCTGTAAACTAATAGAAATCTAAGGAGAGCCGTGTCTACGTCTAACAGCAACTCATAAATAATTATTGACTAGTTTTAAGCGTATATGTAGAATTTTCGCACAACAGTCTACATGAGGATGACGGGTTGTACTACTTTGTTTTCATTTTGTCCTTAGTTTTAAAATATTTTATATTTATACGTCGCTACTTTGACGTACGTTACTTATCCTGCAACACTTCCAAAATTACAACTACACATACACACACTATACACTGCACATACACATACATAATTATTAATCTACATAATATCCACTACTTAGTTTATTTACATAAAATCATCTTTCCTACACTGGCTCTAATTCTCACTGAACCAAATGGATAGTAACTTAAACAATATAAATGAGGTAGATCAAATGGAATTTGTGGATTCTATTCAATGCCACATTGGAGACTTATGTAAATTTATTAATGTTGACAACAGACATTTTTCACTACTTACTCAAAACGTTAGAAGTGTATATTGCAATTTCGATAACTTTTTGATTTCTTTTTTGGAACTAAAATTCTACCCTGATATAATTATTTTAACTGAGTGCTGGCTAAGTGATCACAAACCTATTCCAACTTTGGCTAAATATGACTTATTTTTTTCAACCAGACACTTAAATAAAAGTGATGGTGTAATAGTCTATATTAAACATGGTATTCATGCAAATGTTAAAGAAATATACCTAGAAGAGGCAACTTGTCTACAAATTCACCTAAGTAATAAAACAATTTTGGGAATATACCGATCACCTTCTTATACAAATTGTTATCCGTTTATTAATTCACTCGATGCCACTTTGGATTCGCTAAAGCCACATAAGTGTATTATTTTAGCAGGTGATATAAATATTAACACAATTTCACATACCAGTGAACAGAGCATAGACCGTGAGAACAGATCCAATTTCCTTGATATTCTCGGTACACATGGTATTGCTATGGACCATAATTTCCCTACTAGAGATAACTGCTTGGATCATATTATGTTCAAATTAGAAAGTCATAGGGTCAAAGCCCAGGTTGCGGTTTTAATTACAACTGTTACAGACCACGCTATCATTCTATTACAGCTTACTGATAATAGTTTCAGAAATGAGTGTCAGAAAATCAGAACGCGGACAGATTATGATAAAGCATTGAATGGTCGCAGAGGCATGAACCTTACAGCTTTATTATCTTGTGATGAATCTAATCTGTTAACTAAAGAACTAGTTGACAAGATTTGTACGGCCCTTAATGACAACACGAGGGATGTATACATTCCCAGAAATAAATGCATTATGAAACCCTGGATAACCCCAGGGATTCTACGATGTATTAGAAATAGGGACCGAATGCAGTACAAACTTCGAAAAAGTCCCCACGATGAGATTCTTAGATTCCCCTACAGAAGATATCGCAATTTCTGCAATAACCTCATTAAAAAACTAAAACGTGGATATGAAAGGCAGTTACTCCGGGATTCCACTGGTGACGCTAAGAAACTTTGGAATAATATTGCGTCAATCACTCATCTTAGACAGTGTAAATCAGACAATACAAAGCTACTTAATATTAAAACATCCCTGCAACATTCTGTTGATTTCATAAATACCTTTTTTGGGAATATAGGCAAAAATCTAGCTAATTCTATACCTCAACCCCATGGATTACTAAATGGGACCAGGACTGTGAGCGTTTCCCAAAGAAAGTCTCAATTGTCCTCATTTGTGCTTCTTGATGCTGACCAGGAGGAAGTTTACTCTATGTTGATGGGACTAAAAACTAAAAGCGCTCCCGGTTGGGATAATATTCCAACCAGTT